TAAATATAATATAAATATTAAATATAATATTCTATATAATAATATATTATATGAATTTATTTCAAATACAAAATAAAATTACTATGTAAACTTTCATTTGCATATATAAACACTTTTAATATCGACAAGAAAAATATGTATGTATGTCGCGTACTAACGTGTATATATGTATACACTTACCTTATATTATGTACAAATATATAATCAAATATTATAAAATACGTACAATATAATTAACTTATACTTTTATTAATCATTATACAATAGAATTAATATTTTATTAATTATTTTAATTCATGTTAAAAGATTATAAATTCATTTTACATGTGGTAAATTGTGGAAAGAGTGGACAGTCTGCATTAAATATAATTTTATATTTATTTTTTCTATAATTTTAAATTTAAATTTTATTTTATTGTATAATAATTTCATTTTATAAATAAATGAGTATATTAATTTTATGTTAATTATAATTATATCATAGTATAATGATTTCTTTACATTATGAAAAAATTTTTTATAAGCAAAGAAATGTATTCTTTCATCATAATCATTTTGTATATTTGTCTTTTGCTTAAATAAATTATAAGCATTTATTTATAAAAAAGAAAAATATACATTATATTATATTAGACATAAACTATCATGGACATCATACTAATTTTTTAATTCAGATATTGTATAATGCCCTGGATGTTACAAATAATTCTATATTTTATTTGAATTACAGATGTTATCAAGATGTTATATTAATATTTGTATCACAGATGTAAAAGTTTACCTAGCCTAGAAAAATTAATATTAACTTTTTAGTTTTTTATTTGCACAAATTAAAAATTCGATAATAAAGTACTTACTAATATAATTAGAGACGAACTTTTTATGAGCATCAATTTATATTTACAAAATGTAGTATATGAAAAAATAGTGATAGAATTTTATACAACATTATATTAGTTTATCGCATAACTTTGTCATAAGATGGTGGTGGAGCTTCATCCGATGAATTACTTGGTGGAATCAAAATAGCAATATGGTAAGGTGGTGGTGGATTCTGTCTTACTACAGAAATAGGTCTAATATTTTCATTGGGCATTGTAGTTGTAGACACAATATGTTCTTCTTGATTTTGATGCTCTTCATGACTATTACGTTGATTTCGGCAATATAAAATAGAGTATAAACACGCAAATAATGATAATGTTAATAGCCCCCAAAATATAAATATTTCTATACCTTGACCCTTGAAAAAAGTATTTAATATTAATTAAAAAAAAAAAATTAAAAATTATCTATGAAAAATATTTCAATTTCAATCTACCTTGTCTCCAAAATAAAATTTTGCAGCAGCAACAAAACCTGCTGCAAGTACAAATGTTATCCAAACACCACATCGTAATCTATAACTTGCAAGTTCTGCATCATTAAATTCCGAAAAATCTAAAAGACTTCTATTTGTTCCATTTGACGTAGTATTTGATAATATCAATTGATTATTTCCTGCAGTTGTTACATTACTATAAACATACAAAAGTTTGATATTTTAACTGTTACTCTTCTTATAATAGTTTAAAGACTCATATTACTTATAATTATTTATTATGAAGGGCGAATCATTTATAAATACTTTCTGATGATAGACATGTATAAGTGAGTCACCCTGTATATAAGAAGAACATGTTCCTCAGATTCCTCTTAGTAGACCTTTTTCTTTAATTACTTGGAGATGTTGTTCAGTTGAGAATGTTGAGTAGAGCCAACTGGAAAATTGTTTTGATTTTCATTATTTGTTCTTATTGTTGTTCTTAGCATTCTGCAATTATTCATGTTACTAGGACCAGCTATATTTCCCATAGTATTCAGATTTTGAAATCGATGAAGTGGTGTAAACATTTGTCTCATATCTGCATTGTATCTACATTGATCTATAAAAATAATAAATGTAAGAATGAAATCATATAAAATTTTTCTACTTTTTTCAATTAAATTATAATAATATTAAAGTTTTAAATTTAAAAAAACTATAATTAAATCAAAATTCAAAAAAATTATTAAATGATATAATATAATATAATATTGTTAAATGAATTAAAAAATCGAAAAACTTAAAAATTTGTTGAATTTTCTTACTAAAGCGTGTTTTTGGTAAAGGTGTGGCGGGGCATCGGTGACCAGTGAAACCGTAATATCTGCCCGCCGGTTTGTTAATCCAGAAATGCATGCTCTGTTCGTATCGTTTTAAAGATCCATTACAAACTTTTTTGAAAATCAATTATAGAAAACTTTTCTTTATCAGTGTCATAAATGTATTCACAATGAGCTTGCAGATGTTTCTAATTCAAGTTCCATTACTTGTACATTTTAAATCGATGCATCGCATCATAATATTTCTGAGATTCATTATTTATAAAAAAAATTTTTTTAATTTTTCTAAAAATATATTTTTATTTTATATAATTTTAATTGCATTAAAAAACATTGTAAGCAAATTCGAAATAAAATGATAACATATATTCGAATACATACGTCAATACCTGATCAAACTGCAGCTTGAATTTTTATCATTATCAATTTAAAATCAGGTATACCAACACTAACGAAATATATATACATATTTATGAAATATTTAACACATAAATAAAAATATGGACAAAATTAATTTTTCAAAATTAAATTAAATGTTTAAAAATAAATTGTATTTTTCTTTATAGATTTATAAATTCATTATCTTATTTTTTAATTTCATTTCTTTTTTATAATATTTAATTATTTTTAAATAATATTTAACTATTTTATTTTATAATATTTAATTATTTCGTAAAAATTTTATATATTTAAAAAATGTATATAATACATTTATCTTATTCAATACATTTATTATTTGAAAAAAATGAAAATTTTTTTTAAATATTTTAAATATAAACACTATTCATTATCATTTTAAATATTTATATGTTTTATATTTATTTACATTATTTATTAAGATTTATTTATTAAATTAATTTATTTATTACAAAAATTATTTAGATCAATTTTTAAAAATTTTTGATATCTTTCTATTTATCATAATGTTAAACTTTTGATGATTAGAAAAAATATTGTTAAGTTTAAGATGATGTAAAAAATTTAAAATTATGTATATACACATATATATCTATATGATTTTAAAATGGCTGAAATGAACTATATGAACTATTATATATAAACTATGTATAATTTATAAATGTGTTTTTGAATTATGTTATTTCTGAATTATTAAATTGTTGTATATTATATATATATATATACATTTTATCACGAAAAAATGATATTTAAATATTTATAAATAATTCTAATAATAATAAATTAATTTTAGTTTATTATTAAAAACAAATTATTAAAAACAAAAAGAATTTATATGCACGTTAAGGTCTAACCTATTTGTCTTTTTGTAATTTTAATATTTTAATATATAACAAATTTATAATTTTATTAAAATGATAAAATTTAAGATTAAACAATACGTATTTCAATCTGAATTATATTTTTTAAAACGATTTTTTTTCTTCTCTGGTATTTGGAATACCAATAATCAAGAAAATATTATTTCAAAATTAAATCATAAATCAGAATTATACCAGGAGAATAAAAAATTGTTAAAAGTTGCAATTCTGGGTTTACCAAATGCAGGAAAAAGTACATTAGTGAATAAACTTATACGTAGATCTGTATGTATTCTAATTTATATTTGAATTATTTATTATTTTAATAGTTTAATTTTTAAAAAAATATATTTTTGATGAAGATATGTCCAACATCTTCAAAAGTACATACCACAATGCACAAAGCAGAAGCAATATATACTGAGGGAAATACACAAATTATATTCATGGATACTCCAGGATTAGTAATGTCTAAAGAAATTAAAATTTACAGATTATTAAAAACATTTAGTGAAGATCCTAAAAATGTAATCACTGATGCAGATGTTATTGGAATAGTACAAGATGTAACTAATACATATACTAGATATAAATTGGAGGATTTTATTCTTAATTATATAAAAAATAAAGTGGAAGATATACCATTATTGATGATTTTTAATAAAGTAGATAAATTAAAAAAAAAAAAAGTATTATTAGACCTTACAAGAATGTTAACAAATAATGATAATTATCCAAAATTTGATGATATTTTTATGGTATCTGCATTAAGTGGAGATGGAGTGGATGATTTAAGGGTAATATATAAATATATTACAATAATAATGTAATTATTAATAATTAAATATATACATGCATGTATTTAAATATTTTTAGACTTATCTGCTTGATATAGCTAAAGTAAAAAATTGGAAGTATAAGGAGGAATTTTATACTGATCAATCAACTAAAACTATAATAGAACAAACAGTTAGAGCTAAGTTATTGAATATACTTCCATATGAAATGCCATATAAAGTGAAAATAATAATTGACCATTTAGAGTTTGGAGATGACAATATTAATACTCTTGTAACATTAGATTGTCCTAAACAAAGATATGTAAGAACTTTATTAAAAATGAAATCTCATAAAATTAAGTGCTTAGCATTTGATGTAGAAAAGGAATTACGTCATGCATTTAGAACTACTGTAATTGTACGTATAAATGTAAAATGTACAAATAGTGAATCATCTCAATTACATTAATAAAATCATTTTTACATGAATCATTTTACAAAAATATTTATCTTTTATGTATTGTTTTATTTTATAAAATAAGATTTATAATAAATTTATCTATTTAAATGTTAATATTATTTAAAATTATAAATATATATTATTAAAATACATAATTTTTTAAACATTTCATTAAATTTTCAAAAATAAAATATTAAATATTAATTACAGTTACTATTAAGATTACTATTAAGATCATTAAAATAAGGAAAACTAAAATTACTTCCTTTCAAATTTTCTTCTATCCATTTATTAGCTTTAGCATTAAGTTCTTCAGTGAACATATCCTTCCATCCATTATTTTGGCCTTTTCTAACAAATGTTTCAGATGTTATAATATCACATTTTTTTAATTCTGATAAATTTACCATTGGATTGTTTCGAAAATTTTTAATATTTAAATAATCTTCTACTTTTTTTATTTCCTCCTCAGTATAATCTTTTCCAAGAAATTTAGCAATTTTTTTAATTGCTTTTGAAAAATCCTATTATAAAAAAGATTCAAAAATATAAAAAATATATTAATGATAGAAATTTCAAAAATTAAGCTTACAAATATTTAACTTACATATTGCATTTCTTCATAAAACATGAATAAAACATTTGGATGATTTCTATGTGTCCATGCTTCCTTCAAATGTTCCCAATAAGGACTCCATGGTGCTAAACAATTTTAATATTTTATAAAATTTTTATTTTTTTTAATATTTAATATGAATATTTTAAAACTTATTTAATATTAAATTTAATAAAACTCACTAAGATTATTTTGGAAGTAATACCAAAATGTTGTAAAATCACCTATATATCCTTGGGTTTTAATTGCTTTATTTAAATGATACCATGAAACAGCAACATCTTTTGGATTTCTTGCAATATATATTATCTTGAATCAGAAAATGTGATTTTTGAATAAAATTATATAATGAAAAATAATAATATAAGTTATTTTTATAAATATAAATTTATTATAAATCTACCTTACAACCACTTTCTAAAATGTTGGGTAATAAACTAAATGGAAAATGTGATTTTATGAACCTCTTAGAAGATATTTTTTCTAAGATATCATATCCTGGCTGTGCAATTTTTTTACATAATTTTTCTTTATCTTTATCTCCTTTATTTAGTTCTAAAAATTCACGCGTTACCTCAGGATGATTGAACATGCTAAATCTACAAATAATATTTATAATGATAATAGATCTTTTACATAAAGCAAATATTTTGTAGTATAACAGAGTGTTCAGCTAGATAAAAATTTGAAAATATAAAAAATTCTTCACATCAAATTAAAAAAATTAAAATTAAAAAAATTATATTTTTAATTTTGTTTTTTAATTATTAATAACTAAAAATGAATATACAACAGCTTAAAAAATAGGAAGTCATCTTCAAATTATAGTAATTTATTTAATTTTCTTAATTTTATTTTTTTTTTATATTTTGTATAAGATAAGTTGATATTTATTTGTCATTAAATAAATACATCATTCATTATTCCTAATTATTTTATATTCGTTCGAATAAAAAGATTTGTTCGTATCTAGAGATATTTTTATCAACTTTTATTTATGAATAACAATTGAAAAATATAGCCAAAAATAAATTTTGTTCATTTTTAATTTCTATTTTATTTTAACTTCAAAATCATTTTTTAAATTTTAGACGAAAATTTGAATTTTTTTTCTGTATCTATAGAATATTTGTATATGTAATTTATACGATTTTAGATTTTAATTATTGAAAATATTAATAAATAGTTTCACATACTTTACAATATTATTAATGTTTTATTCCGTTCTATTTCCTTTTCTAATAATATAATTATATGTTATTTACATGCAATTTTGATCATAGATTATTATCAACAAATAAGCTATATAATTTTTAATGAATGACATACTCACATAATTATTAGTCGTAATATTACATAAATTATAATTGATTTATTTATAAATATTATATTATATATATGCATTATTATATTATTAATTATTGTTTTAATAATCCATAATAAATTTTTAAAATCGTTATATTATTGACAAAAATTAATTTTTATATATATCTTTAATTAAAATTTTTTATTTAATTTAATTTGATTTTATAATTTTAATTATACTTACTCAAGAAATGGAAATCGTTCGGTTAAAAGTTCTGTTCTTGCTCTTTTAAAATCTAAGTCATTTGATAATAACCAGACTAATTCTTGAGTCCATGTTGTACCTACAAAAAAAAAATTTTTTTAATTATTTAAAAACGAATAATTAACTTTATTGTTATTGCTAATATTTATACATGAAAAAATGTCGATAATCGTAATAATCGAATTGTATCGATTGTACCTGTACTATTCAAAGTTTTAAATCTTTATTATTGCTGATCTTTTAAATAAATAATAATAAATTCTTTTATAGTTTAACGAAAAAATGTATAAAAAATAATGTATATAACATAAATATTAAGTGTTAATATAATAAAATTGAGTTAAAAATAAAAATTAATTTCATTATCGTTAATAACAAAACATATTTTAAAAATATATTACTTACCGGATCTAGGATAAGATAAAACCCAAATATCATCTGGTCTAGCCTTAAAGTTATAAAATCCTTTACCTTCTATTGTATATTTATGAGGGAAAAACCATTTTTTTGCACCTACAAGCACCCAACCTGTTCTCTCACCCTTAAATATTTTTAACATTTTTTTTGTATTTTCTTTGTTCAAATATTCATATTTTGGTGGTTCAAGAGTCATCCTTGTGTATTTTAATCTATAAAATAAATTTATGTCAAGAAAATATAAAAATTCAATAATAGTATTATAGTAAATAAAATAATATTACTTGATATTCATAATTATTCATGATTAATATTTTTTGAATTATCAAATATAAAAAAATCATAAAAAAAAAACAAAAAATATGGTAAAAAACATACAAAAAGTTAAAAATATTTATCATAAAATAATATTTTATAAAAAATATTTTTTGAATTCTTATAAATATAAAATACTAGTATATTTCATTAGTCATAGTCATTGTATAGACTATTAATAATCCACTTATTTCAAAAAACATTCGACATTTACATACATTTACATACAAACATTTACATAAAAATTTATAAGTACAAAACATTCTTTACTATTTAGCTTTTAATTGTAAAAATAAATTTAAATATTAGTTATTTAAATTTAAATATAACGAAACGATATAATGATAATTTATAAAAAATATAAAATATAAAAAATATTATTAAATTACTTTTTTTTCAATCCGTATGGATTGATTATGATTAATTGTAATAAGAATATGAATATGAATTATTAAAAAAAAATAAAATTTCATTATTTTAAAATAAGTTTTATCATGAAACAATGTATATGTATATATTAATAAGTATTTCACTTGATAATTTAAATTGATTAAAAATAAACAAATTTTATACTATATGTTAGAAAAGATTATTATCTTCATTATAAGTAAATCGTTATAAGTAAATTTATATTGCAATATTTTTTTTTAAATTTATTTAAAGAATTAAAATAAATAAATTAATAATATCAATTTAAAGAAATAATATATTATCTTTCATTTAAAAATTAAATATAATTACTTATTCATTACTTACTAATATTAATATTATTAAAAAGTATTAAATTGATGTAAATTTTTTGTTAACAAATAAAAAAATTATATCTAATAGAAAATGATGCTCACACAACGAAGAAGAACGTGTAACTGTCAGAAATCGGAATAAATGTCGCTTTTAAATGATACCTGAAGTATTCAGGTTAACAAACTTTCACCAAACATTATAATAATTTCTCGATTATCCGATCTCTCACAAAACAAAAAGCGATTACCAATGATTTTTTGATAAATTTAATATATTTCTATTAAACCTGATATCTTTATTAGATCAGATTTCATTTCTATTTTTCTTATTTGTTTTAATTTTGATTATTTTTTGATTGTGAATTTGATAAATTATAAAAATTAAAAATTACAAGTATATATATATATATATATAATATAAAATTATAAATGCTATTTGAAGAATATTAGTAAATTTATTCAAACTTTATTGAAACAATTTTCATAAATTACATTTTTAAAATATGAATATTAAAATACAATTTAAGTGAAGTCTTTATTTTTTAATTCTTTATTTGGTTTAAATGGCAAGTATTGTACTTATTTTAAGAAATTAAATGATAAAAATTATTATGATAACAATCACGATTGAAATTTTAATATTACATCGAAATTTTTGTTCCCATGTGAAATAAATTTTTAAGGCCTAATTATTTTAAATAGGAACTTCTAGTTATAAAGTTAAATACATATCAATTATCAGTCTTATCTCTTTTTTATAAGTAAATAAGCGTAAGAGTATTTTATTTCACCTTGATGAAACTCTGTTCTAATATGTAAAAAGGTAATAAATTTATAATAGCAAGGTGTTTTCTTTGGTTATGATTGAAGTTTTCATCAAGGCAAGATAACTCCTTAAATAAAAATCGAAATACACAATTATCAAACAAATAATGATTTAGATAATATTAATTAAATTATCATTCATGCATATCGATTTTTATATACTATAGTCTATTTAATTTATAGATAAATTTGAAAAAATATAACATATTTTGTTAATAAAATATCGCACAATATTAAATCTTATTAATTAAAAAATAGTAAAAGTAGTATGTTAAAAGTAGTAGTATTATAATTAAAACCTTAGCTTAATAAATTGTATGGAATGATTATTTAAATATATCAAATATAAATTCTAAGTATTATTAAATAATGAACTCTATTAAGAGTATTTTATTTAAAAGTATTTAAAACAATTTAAAAAAATCATTTAGTTTTGTAATTATATGAATATTTCTTATATTGGTTTATAAGATATTTAATGATGAAATTCTCTTATATTGATTCATATAAAAAATTGTTAATAATTAATAATTTTCTGGTCCTAAAATATTTTCAAAAACTAACAACTTTTCATTTTCTGAAATTAATTTATCATTGTTATCTGTGATCTTAATTACATTCTTTTCAAAAGAATTTGTAACATGATCTGGACTCATTTTATTATTTGTTGGTTTAATGCAAGAGATATTTAATCCTAATTTGCAGAGATTTATTACAGTCTTTTGTTTTTCTTCTACAGTCTTTACTAATATCTTATCGTTCTCATTTTTGAGAGGAACTTGAGATATTGAATTTGTCACATTTTCATTCTTCAATTCTGCAGTTAATTCTGCTATATTATTAAACGATATAGTTCTTTCTCTTTTACTTAAAAGATTTTTTAGATTTGGATTTGCCAAAAATGGTTTGCATCGTTTAGTATGTATTTTCATATTGTCTTGCCGATTAAAAGGCTTATCACATCCAGGACAATGGAATCTATGAATAAGATATAAGATATAATTAAATATTAATGTTAAAAGCTATTAAGATGCTATTAAAATATTATTAAAAAACTTTACCTAATATTACTGTGCACTGCCATATGAGCAGCTAAATGAGATTGTTGACCAAATGATTTTTCACAAATATTACATTTATATTTTCTAATACCTTCGTGCTTTAAAAGATGTTCTTTTAATATTTGGCTAGTCTTATATACATTTGGGCAAAGAGTACATTTAAATCTTGCAGCAGCATGAACCTATGAAGAAAATTTAGTTTTGTAATCATATTTTTAATTAGTAACTAATTGTATATATTATTTAAATTATATAGCAAAGCAAATATTACATTCTGATGATTATGCAAAGCTTTTCTAGACTTGACATGTTTACCACAGATATTACAAACATAATCTTGCATATGAATGTTCTTGTAATGTGTTTTTAATGCTTCTGCATTAGATAAATAAGCAGAACACAATTTACACATAACAGCTTTGTCCTTATTGTGTACAATCATATGTGCACGTAATCTACTTCTTGAATAAAACTCTTTACCGCAAATTTTACAACTAATATCCTATAATAATTAAAGAAGAATAAATAAAATGATAAGTATCCATTATTTAATATATTACAAGATTTTTTTGGCAATACCTTTAATGGTTTATGAGTAGCATTATGATAACTTAATATTTGTCTACTGGAACTTGCAAAATCACAAAGCTTGCATTTATATGGACGGGCTCCTGTATGAGTATTAATATGTTCTTCTAATAAAATAGCAGTTACATATCGCTTTTCACAAAGATGGCACGCAAATGGTTTAATCTTTAAATGACTTTTTCTGATATGGCAACGAACATTACTAACAGTAACTGTGGCAAAATCACAAGCTTTACATTGATAGGGCTTCATTTGTAAATGTCCCCAAATATGAACCTATAATATTTTAATATAATTATTTCATTATATATTTAAATAATTTTCTATTTTTTAAAATTAAAATAATTTTTAAATTTACCTGACATTTATCCATTCTAAGGTAAAAAGTACCACAAATATTGCAACGTATGTTTTTTTTATTAATTATTGTTATATTTTTTTGTACTTCTTCTGAGTTTACAATCGACATGTCCACTATATAATAACTTTCAATAGTTCGTTTTTGTTCATCACTTATCAATTCGGAAATTTTGCCAAATGATCTATTTTTACTCTCATTTTTATTTTTAAAACTATTTTGACTTAATTGTTGAGGCAATGAACATTCATTAAGATTACATTCTAACTCAGTTTTAGTATTTTGATCTGTTACATTAATTGTATTATTTAATTTTGTAGAATCTTCTTGTATTATTTTTAAATTTGTCACATCTTTAAATTGTGAAGATTTTATAATAGTTACTCGATTTTTTTCTGTGAATATTTTTGATTGTTGATTATTATAATTGGAAGAAATTCTTATATCAGGATATTTAATAATACTTTGTTCTGCTATCAAATTCGTTTCAATATTTTTAATATTTTCAGTTTTTTCCATTAATACACATGTTAAATCTGTTTTTTCTTGATTTACTTTTGATTTTTGATTTTGTATTTGATTAAGAACTAGTTGATTCAATTGTCTAGAAGTTTCTGCTTCCCCTTTCTCTTGTTTTACATTAATCGATATTGCTTTATTTTTTTCAGAATTCTTTTCTGTATCTTTCAAATTATTAGATCTTATTGAATTTTTATTATCAGATTCAATTATAGTTAGTTTATTAATCATTGTATCAGTTTTATTACCTTTGATGTAATTTGCATTCATTGATGTATTTACTGGCATCTGTTCAGCTTCTGTTTGTATAATTTGTGGTTTAGATGTGACTGTAGCATTATTATTTATACTATCAGAGTTAGTTGTTGTACAAATAGCACGCAAACAATATCTTTTGTATTCATTATTAACATTATCTCTTTTTTTATCACTTAAATGATTTTGAATCTTTTTTTTGTAGTTTGTTGTTAAACTTACTTCTTTCATTTTTTCTAATTTACTTTTTCGTCCTCTTTTACGTCGTATAGGTTGATCTAAATTTATATTAACATTTGTTTCATTTATTTGAGATGTATTTAAGTCATTTGTTGATTTTGGTATGTAATTTATATTTTTTTCCAAAATATTTTCTTTTAAATTATAGATATTCTCTTTTAAATTACTAACATTATGTTGATCATTTTTTGATATATTTTCATGTGAAATTACATTTTTTATTATAGATTGATTTTTAGAAATTATATTGGTTAATTGTGTTTGTGTAATCAAATGAACATTATCAATAGAAATATTATTATCTATGTGATTATCATTTTCCTCTTTATTTTCAGTCCTGTATAATGTATTATTTTCAGACAGATAATTTTTTGATTTTTTTAAATTATCGGGTGATAAAACTTTTGTTTTCCATTTAGTTTCATTTACAAATGGAACATTGTTTTCTTTATCTGATTCTGTTTCATTAGTAGAATCTTGCAGTAATTTCTCATTTATTATATTTTGATTTTGGTTCTGAAAACAAAATATTTTAAATATCATCACTCACATAAAAAATATAATAAAATATTTTTTATCTTTCAAAAATAAAATATTAAAAAATTTCTAAATTATTATAATTATATTATATATACTATATTATATATATATTATAATTTAATTTAT